ATAACCAATAAGTAAAATGTATTGGCATATTTTCAATAGTTTGAATACGTCGTTTAAATGTCAATGAGTTTTATATTCGAATGCCTTAGGTTGTTTTGACAATAAAATATACGCTTTATTCTATCATTGAAATAATTTTATGTATAATTGACCCTTGTAWAAATTGAAAAAWAATCATTTGAATGTAGGGACTCACCTACTGACAGTGTAATTTTTTTAAATACATATTTAATTATTATTGCAGGTATGAAGTTGTTGTTACACAATCTGTCACATACACGATACATGAACGGCGTAATACTATATTAGTTATTAAATATTGAAGTATTTATATATTATAATATTATATATAGTAGCYACTTGTATAAATTGATATTTTTGAAAAAAAGAGGAAACTGCTTTTATAAACACTGAAATATTTCATAAAACCGTCAGTTTTTCATGAAATAGTGACTTCACTTTGACATTGTGTAATTTTTTTGACAATGTGGTCATTCATTTTGTGAAATAAAATATTAATTACCACATTTAAACAATCATTATTATTATTACTATAATTAGTAATATTTCAGCATTTGTTATAAACTTATCATAGGATCATTTTTTTTTTCAGAGTAGTTGTAAATTTTATTTTTCTTAGTATCATATATTTTTATTTTATGGTTATATTTGTTTCAATTTTTTCATATTTATTTTGAAATGTTGTAATTTATTAGATTAGTACATTTTTTTTTTTTTTTTTATAATTGAATACATACATTTTATTGAATGAAATAAATAATTAAGACTTACCTCCAATGAAGCCATAACAGAACATCAGTTGGTACAACGATTCTACATAAGATGCATAAATAAATGCAACGCTAGAAATTACACTTCCAATTATTGTAACTGATCGGAAATCCACACTGTTCAGAAGAGCACTTACAAACGGACCTTTATTGAGAATTTTTTATAAAAATTAGTTACCTGGTATAAACATTAAATATATAGTAAAATATACAGTATAATGATAATTTCGAACATATTATAATATTTCTGGTTGCATGAAAAATGTATTTTCGTGGTTTAATGCAATTTAATGGACCAACCATGGGCAACTAAATTATGTTTAAGGGACCATTAGCTCACTATTGATTCATTAAATCTTAAGTGATTATTCATGCAGCTCGGAAATAGTGACGTAAAATTTGAATAGTGGGCGCGCTGTATTCGTATAGTGAAATCAAAATAATATAATTTTACCTGCGATCAAATAAAACCCGTTTAACAGTGACCCGACTATTGTGATCTTAGACTCCGGCACGTGAAATGTGTTCACCATGTCATTCATGAGCATGCCAAAGGAATAAATTATTCCATCTACAACGACATTGCAGTAAAACGCAGCGAAAACTACTACCCATCCCCAGCCACCATCGGGAGCGACTACGATCGCCAACGATCCTCCGGCTCCTTTTTTCATCTGAAATTATATAATATAATAATAATAAAAACGTTAACGCATACCAATGTTGTGTTCATTATAATATTGTATAGGTATAACCGATAAAAAATCTAACAAACACAAAAAATACTTGAGTATATCGGTACACGATATCATAACCTGCTCACTGTATTATATCCGTTTTTTAATTTTTAAACGGACAAACAGAATATTTTTCTATAAAAGGATTGCAATAGAAAAATTGATAGTTTCTGATAAAGTAATTATTACAGTAAAATCCAGATTTTCCAGGCAAAATTTCTTGAATRTCAACAACATTGTGTGATTCTTGAGATTTTATATATTGGACAATACAAAATAATAAATGAAAAACATTTTAAAAGATAAAAACACGCTAATGCATAAAAAAAATATAGTTGATAATAATAATAATAGATATAATACTTTAATGTAAGGCGAATAACATTTAAAATAGTATACTCGTTAACAGGTTTATATTATTATAAATATAATTATTATGATTAATATTAATTTTATGTGACATTTAATCAATTTTTAAACATATTTAAATTATTCACAGACAATAAATATTTAAATATAGGTACCTACATGACTACAAATAACATGTTACATGATATAACACAATATTTGTTTAATGTAACAACTAACAACCACATATAATTACTTAAATAAATAAGTACTTTATTATAACAGTTATTTATTTATTAAAACCTGTACCTATAATCCATAAAATGCAAACTCTTAATATACATAATACCCGTGTTCATTCTGAAGTGATTTATTACGCACACGACCCATTCATTTAATTGACTCGATTTCATATAGGTACCTCCTCAATGGTGGTATTAAAATGTTGATGATATGTGAAGTGAAACCATATATATTTTGTTTGTCACTAATTTATTTTTAAAATGCTTAAGCACTTGTACAATCGTAYGAAAATTATATGATATTAAAAAACAGATTTATAAATATTGTTGATGGAAGTCAAAAATATTTCTGGAGTAGGTACCTATGTATATAATTTTTTATACGCATATAATATATGTATGTTGAACATGCAGAGCGGAAGTTTTCTGCGGCGCAATTAATAATTTCACAATTTCATTAAATATATTATATTCAGCTCCAAATGATTACAGTGTAAATATGATTATGTTATTATTATTATTATTTAACATACGTATTACATGATAAAACCAACATTGTATATTGTTCACCATTTATAAATCGATAATAATCGTCTAAAACATAAATACCTAATGTCTAATGCTATGTATTGTCGGTGGTGCGAGTTTTACACAACAATGATGACACCGTTTTACTACTTGAGACGGCAGTTGTATGTATGTGAAAATTGAAATGACCTTAAAGGAGACGATTTTAGTAAAACCTCAATGAAATGAAATTATTAATTTAAAAAAAAAAACTTATCATTTAATTTATTTAATCAATATCAATATTTTTAATGTATACTGTTCATTTATGTTTCAGAGTTTGAAATTAAAAGTTAATGTGTAGGTTACAATGTAAAAAACAACTTTTTGATAAAGAATCAGACGTTTTGTTAAAA